GAAGGTATTTAATTTAAAACCTTGGCAGAGTTTAATTGAGTACCAATTCAATTTCACTTTAACCAGGCTTTTCTAAAACAAATTGCAAAAACAATTTCGCCTATTTCCCCAAGCATAGCTTCCAAAAAAAATTCTCAGAAATATTAAAAGAGTTCAGCTTTCGAGTTCAGCTACAATTTAATTTCACTTTGCCTTTAATCAGGCATTTCAAACTGAGTTTATGATTGGGGCTTCGGAAATGGAAAGCAAACATTTGAGGATGCAACATTGCATATCCCATCACCCCAGAAAACTCCACAAAACTCCCCCAATTCGAGTCGATTTTTGTCTCTACGCCGCTTTTCGGTCTTCGTTGTCTGTATTGTAATTGAATTCTACAACAACACAATAAATTTAAGGCACTAAACGGAAAAGGCAACGGCAACAGGGGGTTAAAGGGGGTCCAAAGCGATGCCAAAACGGGCAGACAGTCGACAGGAGGGGGTTAAATGGGATGAGATCGGTGCTGGACTGCAGTAAAAAGAGAAAATTTAATTTCTTGCTTGAATAATAAATCACAAACATAAACAGCGAATGTGGGTGGGCCAAAAAAGGAAGGCTGAAGATGTCGCCAGATAAAGCCCCATGGATACATCCCCTTTTTGGGGGAAAAATATGCGGAGAAACAATTTGTGACTCCTTTATTTTTGGGCAATTTGAAATTCGTTGTCGATGGCCAACCAGAGTTGCCATCGCTCATGTCAAAATGTCATTTCCTGGCCCAGGCAACCCTGTAAATTTGGGAAAGCTAAAACAAAAAAAAGAAAATGGGGAACGGAAGTGGGCGAAAAGCGAAGCGGAAGTGTCGAGTTTCGAGTGTCGCTTTATTAAATTTTTACGCAAATGCTCGACACGCGCATATGAATAACAATATATATGTACAGTCACACATGCATAAAAAAAAAAGAATAATACTTGAAGGGACAGGGAAAACCCTCCCCATCCCCCATCCCCCTTCCTTATGCAAATGAAAAGTAAAAACTTTATGTGGGCGTGGCTGTTGGCTGACCCACTCAGCATTATGCAACACGCCGCTGTGATTTCGCTCTTTTTTATGACATTTATGCAGCCTCCAGACATTTCCCGGGAGACATAAATATTGTTGCAAAGCCAAAAACAAATAGTAAACAGAAATTACAATAATATGCAATAATGCAAAAGGACAACAGCGCATGGGGCCGCAGACTGAGAGCACACACACACTGAACAAATAAGGGACACTCGAAACATTTTTATGACTTCATTTTGGGCAGAAGTTAGGGAGTTTAGCATTTAGAATTTTATTAACTAAATTAGTTGGTCTTATTATTTAGATAAGGCATTTGGAAAACATAGAAAGGGTACGAAGTTTTTAAATTAGGGAACTATATAGAAAAGGGATTTAAAAACATAGAGATGTACAGAGTTAAATAAAATAGTTAGATTTATTACATACAAAAAAGGATTTAAAAAGCATAGAGAGGTGAAAAGTTAATAATTGTTAATCTTGTAAATTACAAAATTGTATGACATCCCTTTAATTCTACCAGAATAATAAGATTACATATGAATGCTGACAACAATAATATATAGAACGTAGAAGTGAATCTGATGTTGCTTAGGTTAATATTTAGTGGGGATTTAAAAAGAAATTTTTATTAAATTCAAATAAATCCGATTATGTTTAAGTGTACCGAAAAGTGGGAATGGGGAACGCACTCCAATCCCCCGGCACACTCACTTTGTATTTGTCCCATGTGTGCGTGGCTTTAAGTCAGCGGGAGGACGTGACATCCTTGCATAGCATTTGCATAACTATATCAACAAGAGACCCTGGTCGAAGGACGAGTTGGGAGGGGGAGGCGGGGGCAGGAATACCAGACATCAGCGACAGCCTCCGTGGACATCCCCAATCCCCCGACCCCCGGAAAATCCCCGTGCTATTTTTATCTTTTTTTTGCAAGTGCTTCTCTTGATGCGCTTGCATAATTTTCATTGTTTTCATTTTACAAGCGAATTTCCCTCAACTTATCTTCTTTCATTTTAGTTCTCCGTTTTTTTTTTTTGGCGACAGCTTCCTGTACTGATTTCTGTTTGCATTTCAAGATTTCGCGTCACAGATTTTTCACATTTATATACTTTTTTATTTTTGGCGGAGAGATGTGTGTAAGGGAAATGCAATAAAACTTTATACGAAGGCGTTGAAGGAGGAAGCATAATATAGGGGAAGGGCAGCCAGCTGGGGCGATAAAAAGAGTTGAGTGGGGAGAATGGAATACTAAATAACTTTATGGGGTGTGGCGAAAGGTAACTAAGGGAGCCGCAGGTAGATAAAACCAAAGTGGGTCAGCCACCGATAAGGGAAACCAAATGAGTTTCTCACAAAAACCTTAAAACTTTGTAGGGAAATATGTAAAACATAATTTGCTACATTTATTTTGATGTTACGAGAAAGAAAAGAAAGTATTCTTATATGTATTCTTCAGCATTTTATAATTAAAATATTAATTTGTGGTCCCTAAAGAGATTTCTTTTACGTCCTTTAAGTTTCTATGAAAAATGAAGAAAATACTCATAGTTCATATAACCCAAAAGCGATGCCAAAAAATGTCGCACACCATAATAAAACCTTTAAAACACTTAAGCTCGTTTTCTGCCCTAATTCGCTTTTACATCCCAATCGATATCCATAATGGAAATAATAATAATCGTTTTGATGACCCGAAAATATCCATGCCAAAAATGGCAACTTTCGCATTGCCACTCTCGTATCCAATTATCGTTGCCAAAAAGCTATATTTGCTGGCTGACATTTGCTGGCTGCTCTTGGCACTCGCACACATCGGCAATTCAATTTAAGGACTTGCTGAGAAAGGGAACGGATATCCTGCCCTTTCCCCTTTGAGTTCGCTCTCATTTTCCAATTTAACAGGCACTTTTCCAATGCTCAGTCAATTTTGCAAATCAAATGCTTGCCATCGTTTGTTGTTCTTCCTTCGCTGATTTGCCAGGACAAAAAAGGAGACGACGCCAAATACCATTCCAGTCGAGCGACTAGACTTGCTAGGATGAAAATAAGGCGGACTAAAAAGGAGAACATTTTGAAATATATATTCCGTTTTATTGAAGTTTTTCTTTTATTTGGCTCATTTATGGCGCATATTGCGAATTTAATCGCTGTCAGCATACAGAGGATACGGAGCTAAGGATGTGTATCCTTCTATGAGGCACTGAAAACAAAATGTAGTCGTTCATAAATAAGCTAGAATTTTAGGCATTTGAATCATAGTGGCTTATAACAAGTTTTTTGAGGAACTCTTAATAGTGCTCCCCAAAATATTAAATAAATAATATTAGTGAAATAAATTATAAAAATATTGTGAAAAACCCCAAAACTTCAACAGTACTTATTAATATAATAATTTCTAATATATAATTTCTATCAAAAAGAAATTTGTCTTAGCTGTGTTTTAGAAAATCATTTTTCTTTTCAGTTTTTCCTCCGCCTGGAAAATCCATCCCACCCCACTCCATTGCTCTCTGTGGGCCGCTCAAAGTTTTCTTTTCTACAATCAGCTGCTGTTGAATTTTTAATTTTTATGTTAGTAATTTTTCAAACATTCTGCAGGAATAAGGAAACTCTTGCCGGAAGAGAACATCTTGCGAGCAAATATTAAATTTTTTATGGTTCGGCGGGAGGCGCGGTAAAGGCGGCAAAAGAAATAAGTGAAAAAGTAAAGCCGAATGGGAAACATGTTGCGAATTCACAAGTGGAAAATATCTTAAGATATTCGGCATTATTTTATTTTAGTGTTATTGTTAGTGTTATGTGTGTCTCTGGGTCTGAGTTTCGAGCAAGTTTAAATCTTTAAGAGCAATCTCTTTAAGCAAAGCAATTTACAGCGCCGCTGCAACTTTGTTATATAAATATTTCAAGCGAAAGCAGATGCTGCTGCACCTGGGTTGGAAAATCTCCCTTTTTCCGCACTTTTCCAACGCCCCACCCCCAGAAAAGTCAGTCACGGTTACGCTGCGAACTGCAACTGGGGAAAAGCAAACATAATTTAAAATGTAATTAGTGCTCAAATAGAAAACCAAACAAACAGTGAGCGCAGATGGGCGGGCGTGAACTCAGGGGTGAACCCGAAACCCCGGAGCTCCCGCAAAGTCAATGAATGAAGAAATATCATCAGCGGGTTACTAGGTGACCCAGTCCCAGAATTCGCACCTGGACAGGCAGCACACCTGTGCCACGCAAAACTTTGTCCTAGACCAACTTTCGCCAGCTCCTGCGGTTGCTTTTGAAACATTTCATTATAGCGAACTGTGGGGTAAACATGGCACATTTTTTACTGCCCGATTTTCGCATTTCAAGGTTGGCCAAACTCGATTTATTTCGACCAAAGATCCCGCGATCTCTCATCCTTCGTTATATTTAATATTGATGACGTGCATAATGAGTTGGCTGCCGGAATTCGTTCCTTTTTCGTTGCTGCACCTTTTGTGCTCATTACGGAAATGAGAAATGCGGAGTCCATCCAGCAATTATTTTCTTACGCTGACAAAAATTCTTTGAAAGGGAATACAAAATTTCAGAAATAAATCTTTATAACAGATTTGGTTCTTGCCATCGCCAAAAAGAAAGGTTAAAAATATAATGAGCCTTAATGCTGCACTTCAAGATGGCCAGCTTCTTAGGTAAAGTTTTGTAAAGGTGATTTTAGACAGTCTTTTTCACCGAGTGTACATTAATAGTCCTTTGAGCTGGCCGCTCTGCCATCCACTTCCGACTCACTTGTAGGTCCTTGTCGGGGCCACTAATTTGGTTTTTAAGTGGGTCTGCTGCTGCTACGGCGACTGCTCATTAAGCGGCTCTTCCTTTGCATTCTGGCCTTTACTTCGGTCTTTACCTGCTTCACTTTGTTTTGGCCTGTTACTCAAGCATTCCGTTTCCGTCTTGTTTTTATTCCCACTATTTACAGACTGGCGCAGCACGGACAGCACCGACCATCATGATCGCGTCCAGAGACAGCTTTCCGTGTCCTCCGACAGCAAATTGTTGGACGAGGACATCCGCGAGGAGATGAAGTACCACTCGCACGTGGTCATGCGTCCCAAGAAGCCGCCCAGACCAAAATCCGAGGTCTTTCTGAACAAGCAGGAAACGCATCCGCGACGCAAACGGTTCAGTGCATTTGGTGTGAGTATTAAAGAAACTTTATTTCTGAATGTTTACCTCTAGTTTTAATGAAATCCTCATGAATCTACTAGTTTTTATACGTCCAACCAGTCAATTGTACTTAACAAGCAAGGATGTAAGGACTTTAGTGTGTAAACTACCCCAATTTTAATGATTATCATTTTTATATAGCATACGTATGTGGGCATTGAGTTTTCGCCTTGGCTGTCCATATAATTCGCAACTGGTTCTGGCTGCGCTTGCATGGAGTAGCTCAGGCGGAATCTGTTTTGGTATTGAAAATTTTTATTCTCTTTGAAATTTGTCTTGGTGGGACCCTTTGTCTAGGCATTGAGAGTTCCCGATTATAAATAAATTGAACTTCAGTTAAAGTATGTAGATTATAGGAAAATCAAAATTATAAAGAATGAAATATTAATTTTGTATTTTGATACAAAACTTAAAGTTACTTTTACTATAAACAAAACGAGGATTCATTCTTTTAAGTAAATCAGCAACCATTGCACTTGAAAAGATTGATTTATTTTCAGGATTTTTTAAACGCGTTTAAATACAAAAAATGTAAATTAAAGTTACTTTAAATGTACAATTTCACATTTTTTATTCCACACATTTTTATGTGTCGCCACCAGCAAAATCTTTGGCAATCGAATGAACTACTCAGGTTTTTAAAATATTTTAAAGCCTACTTGTAGGCACTGAAAAATATTATAAATAATGAAACTTCAATTAATTAATAAAAGACTTCTTTTTATTAAGCCATATACCAACCAAAATATGTCAATTTCAATTTTAATGAATTAAAACAATAGAAAATGTAATATGTTTACTTTGTGGGTTGAACTCGCATTAAGTAATTAATTAAAACAAACATATATTTCCCTGTATGCCTACCGAAAAACATCGTATGCTTTAGCCTAATTGAAAAACAAACTGGAAACAAACATGTGGGTTTCCGAAGTGGGTATTACATCATCAGCCAATGTAATGCGAAATGAACCGCACAGCCAACTAACTTTGCTTAATTAATTAACAAACATGATACAATTTTCACTCAACTCCATTTTTGTATTTTTTTCCCACAGGGCGACTCCCCGTTTGGAAAGCAGGACGCCTATGTGAAACTGGAACCGCTGGGCGAAGGGTCCTATGCGACGGTATACAAAGGATTTAGCAAGTGAGTACCACGCCCAGAAGAAAAACCGAGGGGTCCCCGAAATAGGTTGCCGTGTCAGTGGGTTAAATAAAAAATTATTGCCGGCATCACTCAGCTTGAATTTTGTGATGGACCCCCCGATCAAAATGGATTTCCCTTTTTTAAGCCGGCAAAAAATGTGTGTCGTCATTTTGCCTTGATTTATTCGCTAGTTTCCCTCGTGCATCAGTTTTCCCAGTTATTTTCGGAGCTCTCCTTTCTGGCATCTTCGTCCCAAAACCCGAATCCCTTTGTCCCCGTTGGCAGACTCATTACAGCCAGAGCCATGCAAATGTGGCTATCAATCACGGCCAAAAGGGCGGTCGGTTGGTTGGGGTCACCCAGCGGCTATGTGGGTCACCCGGCGGGAAAGCAAAGATTGCACTGGCAGCAGCAGGAGCTGCGGGAATGTCCTTTTTCCCGGCTCCTTTTATTCCTTTGTTCCCAATTGTTAGCTTGGCCTAACTCCGCAGTGAAATTATCTCAAGAAAGATTCAATAGGCTGGGGAAAACCTTAGAAAACTTGAAATTCAGATAGGAAAATATTTTACCAATTAAGAAACAACAATGAAAACATTTCCAAGAAATTAAATTCATAATGCAATCTTTACTTATAATTCTTATATTTGGAAAAACGAACACTTTCCACGCAGTTTAGCCCTTATAAAATATTTATAGTAATAAACTTCTTTTATTTATATAATCTTAAATTATTTTGGTGTAGTTTAGGTCATCATTTGAATCCCTTTTTGAACTTAAATTCCAGTTTTAAACTTACAAATTTTTTCCCCAGTGCTGGACACGCACTTTTCTGAAAACTTGCCCCACAATTGAGTTGACTTCCTTGCGTTTTCCGCAGCCTATTTTCCTTAACCCCACCCTTAAAAACATGGCATTACAAAATGCTGGCTCATTTGCGCCTCGTCTGGCACTGATTTCAGTTGTTTAAGGAGCTGGATTTTGGAGTTGGGGTTAGGGTTGTGGGGTCTTTCCTTCATAATTTGACAAATGGGTCTGGAAAATCGAGCAGAGAGGGAAGCAGCTTCGTCACCTTTTTGACAGGATTGCTGTCCTGCTTCTGCGATGATAGATGCCACCCAGTCCCCCTTTTTTTGCGCCTGTCACAGCCACTTGCCCCCTGGTTTTCCCACCCCATTTCCCATTTTCCACTTCCCATCGCTCTCACACACTTCATCTTCCTTCTCCCTTTTGTTTTTGATTTATTTGACAATCATTTGCTTTGGTGTTGGCTGGAACTTCGTCCCTTAACAATGGGCATTACGTGAAAAACGAACAAAGTTGTTTGACAGCCAGCCTCTTGCTCGAGTTTTTCCGCTTTTCCCCCCCCTAGCGTTCCCCTAAGTCTCCTAGTTTTCCCAGCTTTTCTCTTCTCATTTGCTATGCACGACGGCACTTACATGCGAAATGAGTTCCAATTAGCCTTTGTTTATACGAAATGCAATTAATTCGCTCTAATTTATCTGCCAAATGGAAATGTGACCCCTCAGTTTTGGCTTTCACTTTTCTTAGGCCTGGCTTTGTTTAGAGTCCTTTTCGCTGCGATCCTGCGACTCCTTGCGCTCTGTTTTTTTTTTGCTTTTTCAAATGGAAATTGGGTCACTTTCCTTCTCCAAGATTTATGCTTCCTCTCGGACTGTTTTTTTTCTTCTTCTGAATAAGTCCCCCAGCTCCGAGTCCTTCTCTGTTTGCCAATTGTAAAAGATTTCATGAATGATTTCACTTCTATTTGACTTTCGTTTTTCCTTGCCTTGTCCTGGTTGTCTTTGTATTTGCCACTGTACTTTTTTTCCGGAATTTTCCGTACTATTTCCTACCTATGCAAACACAGAAAAGGGCAAGAAATCAAGCCAAGAGTCCTTCGAGCAGAAAGTCAAGTTGCTGATTAGCATTTAGTAGGTCAGCTGTCACAGGAAAATTTTCGATTGCTAAAAGTTTTCCCAAACTTTGATGCCACACGCAATTTTCGCTTTATGCTTAACTAAATCGTATTATTTTAACATTAACAAGACAAAGTTTGGTCTCAGCCAGCAAATCCTCTTCACAATCTCCCACCATTCGACACTTGAAAAATTATCAAGAGATTTTAGAGCTTTTCTCGTGCACAGAAAAGAAAAATGTCTCTTGTAAAAGGCATTAAAATAATTTTTCTTTAAAAAATGTAAAATCTAAAATATATATTTCCCAAATTTATAGAATATACAATTCATTGTACTTTACAAATATTTTAAATGATTTTAATTTAACTTAATCTTCAGAGTTTTGTTGTTCAATTCCGCATATTTTCTGTGTACACTTTTCATGGGAAAATCGCTCTTTTCCTGGCAGCTGTTTTTCTTTTACATGGAAATGGCTGAGGATGCGGTAAGGACATAAGCTTTTTATAGCATTTTTCTCCGGCTCCTCCTAGATGGAAGGTTTATTAACCGAGTGTGTTTTAGAATACATTTTGATATCACATAAAAGGTTTAATTCACCGCTACTCGAAGATATTGTTCGGGAATAGGAAGAAGTCTGTGAATTTTTATGCCTGCGATAAAAAGTTTAGGGTATTTTGAGCATATTTACTTGCCAGCAAGAGTTTACGATGCTGCTCGACAAATTGAAGCGCTTGAGTTCCGTCATCAGGAGCCCTCATCATCGTCATTAACCCTCGCTTGCCCAATTAGCTGGTGGCGTGATAAATTCAAGCCCCTAAAAACTTGCACTTTGACACATTCGAGCGACATCTTCATGCTGGCATGCTCGAGCCATAAAGAAACTTTCGTGAATTCACTCTAGCTTCTGCCCTTAAAGTCAACTACTTTATGGCAAGATTTGCGTTCTGGTTTTTCTTTTTTTCGGGCTTTTTGCCCTGCCAATTAGAATGTTGCCTTGGCAATGCGAGAAAGCCGCATAAATTGCCAACGTCTGTGCGGCAGTGTCAAATAATTTAACCTAATTTGACACTTCAAATGTCCTCCGCTGTGTCCTTTTCTCTCTGCCTTCTATATATTTTTTCCAGAGATGTCGGTTTTTCCTACAAATAAAAAGATGTTTTAGCAAGACTAGATCAAACAGCTCTTTTATGATATTAAATTCAGTTCTTGTGATTAAAACGTGTTAATTTACATTTGAAATATAGGATTTTTCTTAGGTATTCAACCTTTAACTTTAACGTGATCTAAGTATAAAATGAATTTAAAATATTAAAATATATATTTTTCTAGTAGAACCCAAACTAAATTTCCATTGCTTTGTTGTTTTCCACGGGTTATTAGGTGTCTAGAGACATACTTCCTCTAAAATCTGATCTTTAGCGAACCATTAAAGACTAAAAAGGAGAAGCTAAGCTGCCAACACTGCCATCCAAGCTGTATCCTCTCTGCCCTTCCATGTCCTGTGGCCTGTGCCTTATCCTAATTTAAGTGTTTGCCGTACATTTCCCTGCGTGTTGGGTCGTTATGTCTGTTTAATATACAAAGGCTCCCTAGGTCCCACCCCACATGTCCTGACTTTCGGCGAGGACGACATTTTGGGCGGGTTCCTACCACAAATTGCGGGCCTAATTCTTTGTTGCCTCGCCGGCAGCTGTGCAATTGTTGTTCTTGTCGGACATTCCCGCTCGAGTATTTATTTTATTAATTCCCCGACTCCGTACCGTTTGCATTGCAGATTAACCTACCAGCGGGTGGCGCTAAAGGAGATTCGGCTGCAGGAGGAGGAGGGCGCCCCGTTCACCGCCATTCGCGAGGCCTCGCTGCTGAAAGAACTGAAACACAGCAACATCGTCACGCTGCACGACATCGTCCACACGCGCGAGACTCTGACCTTTGTCTTTGAATATGTGGTGAGTACCTGTAATATACCTCAATATATCGAAACAAAAAATACAAAAAATTGGTAAAACTATGGACTCTAGAAGTCCAATTTTGGGTCACCCTTTTACAAGTCATCGGAAACTTGAAAATAACTAACATGAAAATGGGTCAAAAATTTGATCAACGATAAATTGAAAATTTTGAATGCAGATTTTTAAAGAATCAAACCACAAGTCTTTAGAGGTATGCCACTTTGGAATCGGATAAAATTTGATAAAGTTATGGACTCTAGAAGTCCAATTTTGGGTCACTGTATTTCCAGACATCGGAAAATTGGAAATAACTAACATGAAAATGGGTCAAAAATTTGATCAACGATAAATTGAAAATTTTGAATGCAGATTTTTAAAGAATCAAATCACAAGTCTTTAGAGGTATGCCACTTTGGAATCGGATAAAATTTGATTAAGTTATGGACCCCCGAATACCAATTTTGAGTCACTGTATTTCAAGACATCGGAAAATTGGAAATAACTAACATGAAAATGGGTCAAAAATTTGATCAACGTTAAATTGAAAATTTTGAATGCAGATTTTTAGAGAATCAAATCACAAGTTTTTAGAGGTATGCCACTTTGGAATCGGATAAAATTTGATAAAGTTATGGACTCTAGAAGTCCAATTTTGGGTCACTGTATTTCCAGACATCGGAAAATTGGAAATAACTAACATGAAAATGGGTCAAAAATTTGATCAACGATAAATTGAAAATTTTGAATGCAGATTTTTAGAGAATCAAATCACAAGTCTTTAGAGGTATGCCACTTTGGAATCGGATAAAATTTGGTAAAGTTATGGACCCCCGAATACCAATTTTGAGTCACTGTATTTCAAGACATCGGAAAATTGGAAATAACTAACATGAAAATGGGTCAAAATTTTGATCAACGTTAAATTGAAAATTTTGAATGCAGATTTTTAGAGAATCAAATCACAAGTCTTTAGAGACATGCCACTTTGGAATCGGATAAAATTTGGTAATGTTATGGACTCCCGAAGACCAATTTTGGCTCACTGTATTTAAGACATCGAAAATTGGACAAATCGGAAAATTTGATCAACGATAACTTGAAAATTTTTGATTTGAAAAATAAGTTTTAGAGGTATGCCTTGGAATCTAAAATTTGATGATCAACGATAAATTGAAAATTTTGAAAATAAAAATGAAAATGGGTCAAAGATTTTTAAATTTTTTGATGTAGATTTTTATTAATCAAATCACAAGTCCTTAGAGGTATGCCACTTTGAAATCGGATAACATTTGAAAAGGATAAATATACTAGAAGACCAATTTTGTTTCCTTTTTAATGTTGTTACCCGTGCTAATATCGAATACTCTTTCCGATTACAGAATACGGATCTGTCGCAATACATGGAGAAGCACCCGGGCGGCCTGGACCATCGCAACGTGCGCCTGTTCCTCTTCCAGCTGCTCCGTGGACTCTCCTACTGCCACAAGCGGCGTGTCCTGCATCGGGATGTGAAGCCGCAGAACCTGCTCATCAGCGACTGCGGCGAACTCAAGCTGGCCGACTTCGGACTGGCCAGGGCCAAGAGCGTGCCCAGCCACACCTACTCCCACGAGGTGGTCACGTTATGGTACCGCCCTCCAGGTGAGTTTTCCAGATAGAATAATAAGTTAAGAGGGGAACTGGAGAAGGAGAGGTGTCAGAAAAGATGACTTGATGGGGGTCATTTCTAATTAAAATTTAAGACATATTCATTTATATATTTAAGTGAGTTTTTCAACAAAATAATTTCAAAATTCCCTTTTAAATGTCCCTTTATTAAGTGTTTTTTATAACAATATTTTATTTGTAAGAAATATGAATTTTATTTATTAAGTAGTTAACGCGACGCTTTTTCCCACACAAAAAATGCTTCAAATCCCAAGAATAGATAGTGCTTTAATATTTGTGTGAAATTTGTTTTCCCCTATCTTTTAATCCCTTCAAAGTGAAATACTTAAGAGCCTTTTCATGTTTGCTTTTCGCAGTCAGAAAAAAAGCTAGTAATCACTTTTCGGAAGCGCAAACAATTTGCAGTTTGAAGCTTATCCCAAGCCCCAAAGTCGAACCAATTTGAAAATCGCATTAAATTATTTCGTTTGTTTTGGGCACTCGAAGCCAGTTAATTGGCGTTCATACGGGCTGAAAATTGTTCGTTTAGCAGAGCGGCCTGAGTGGGATTAAATTAATGCTTCATGAAGATCCATCCCTCGACAATGGGTAAACAATTCATTTTGCATGGCAAAGATTTTTCCATCAATTTGCGGGCCAGCTAAATGAAAAACTAAAAGCGAAGGAGTCGGGATAGAGGAATAAAGTTAATTTTTTCTAATATGCAATTCCCTGGGCATAAACACTTTGTGTGGGAGGTCTACCTGAACTGCAGTCCTCACCCCGAACTACTGACCCCTGACCCCTAAACTCTGGACGCCATCAACGTCAGCTGGGGAATAGTTCGGAAGCATGTTAAACAAATTTAATCTGCACTTCTTGGCAGACAACGCCGGCAGGCAAAAAGCAGAAGCGTGCAAAAAACAAAGGGGAAAAAGAGGCGGATGAGGATGAGGATGCGGATGCGGATGTGGTTGCCATGGGCACCTGTCGCCACCTGCCCGGAAAATCGGTGTGGGTCGCAACCAGGAGCATAGGTGTGCTGGGTACAACAAAATAGGGTTATTACATATCTTTGTTGAATATTTATACGACTGTTTTTGGTACAACATTTACATTTTTTATATATTAGTTAAGGGACTTTTGTTAGTTTTTTTTAAGCTTTTGAATATTTCTGGATGTGTTAGGTTCCATTTTTTATTAACTCTTTAGTCATATAAATATTACTACAACATTTACATTTTTATATATTAGTTATGCGACTGTTTTTTGTGTTAAATGTATTTTAAATATTTTTAAACAGCCGATTTAGAATAATTCTGGTTGTGTTACGTACAACTTTTATTAACTCTTTAGTCATAATAATATTTACTAAAATGTCTGTGTTTATTATTAAGAATTTTTCATTTTGAACCAATCTTAAGAAACCCAAAAGCAAAAAAAATAAACAAAAGCATGTTCAGAAACGTTCATTAGTAGTGCTAATAATAAACAAAGTATGACAAAGGCCACAAAAAATAATAAAAGCCATTGTATGAATGTGTGTGAAGTGCGTGCTTGGCATTCCAAAAGCCTGAGATCAATTCAAGACCCAGTCTGCATGAATCGTAAGTTTTAAGAAACATTTTTGATCGACTTTGATTAGTACTTGTAATAATTTATAATTAAATAACACAGTTCTTATTTCAGATAATTGACAAACTAAGAATTAATTGTTCTTTAAGTAAAACCCAAACAAATTTTAAATGGTTAGACTTCAGAGTTTTTAAATTAAAATCATTGGTAATAAAATGCCTTATAAAGGTTCCTAAAATAAGGAAAAATAAAACTTAAACTTATTTGCTCAATTTTAAATTCTCTTTTTCTTGATGATATATATTTTTTTTAATCTTTTGAAGATCAAACTTTTTTAATCTTTAATTTTCTTTAACGTAATAATGTTTAATGTCTGTACAACTTCTGCTCCTTTTACGCTTTTTAATTTTGAAACCTTTTTGACTACCTTTGACTCCTTTTATTGAAACAAAAATAGTAACCTAACCAGAAAAGCGTATGTGCCCCTTGGGAGTGCTAAACTTTGTTAGTGGCTGCCCCAAAAAGCGGCAGCAAAGATAAACACAAAGGTGAACAGGAAGTGCAGAGCTAACTCTTCCGGTTCCTCCTCCTCCTCCTCCCTCTCCAACTCCCCTTCCTCTCTCCATCTCTCCCTCTTGTTTATTTAAAATGGCAATTTATTCTGCAACAAAGCAGAGGAGCAGAGAAGTGCATTTATTTAACCGAGAGCTCGTGACCATTTCAGATGTCCTGCTGGGCAGCACGGAGTACTCGACCTCGCTGGACATGTGGGGCGTGGGCTGCATCTTCGTGGAGATGGTGACCGGGATGCCGACGTTCCCGGGCATACGTGATACCTACGATCAGCTGGACAAGATATTCAAGTTGCTGGGCACGCCCACCGAGGACACGTGGGCGGGGGTCACCCACTTCCCCGGCTACAAGCCGCACAAGTTGGGTGAGTAATTCACTGGGTAAATCGGTATGAACCGGAGCTAATCTCGGGGTGCACCACCCAACTATTATTTTGGGGACAGGTTTCTATCGACCGCGGAAACTGGGTCACAACTTCCCACGGCTGTACGACATCATCGAGGGCGAGACGATAGCCAACGGCTTCCTGCAACTGAATCCGGAGCAGCGTTTGGGCGCCGATGATGCACTGCAGCATCCGTACTTTGCGCAGTTGCCAAAGAAACTCTACGAATTGCCAGACGGTGAGTCCTGCAGAATTGAATTAAACATTTACAGCCCAAAACTTTCGGCCATTGTCTGTGTGTGGCCGGAAAGAAAACCAATTAACAAAGGGGCAAAAAAGGCGAAAAAGGATGAAATGTTTGCTCAAAGTTGGCAGAAAGTCAGGGAAAAACCCCGTGAAGGTAGCCCATTCTTTTGTAAGGACATCTCATTTAAGTTTCGCGACAATTTGTTTGCCTTTCGAGCAGTTTTCTTCGACTGAGAAGGGGTCTGCTTAGCGAGTGTTTCCGAGGTATAGTTAACAGTAATTGCATTTGCCAGTTTTAATTTGTATTTCAAGTGGTGGCAAAAGTTTGCAACAAGTTGCGAAAAAATAAATACCGAATGCAAAGGACAAACTTGTTGGACAAATACAGGGCTACGACAGAAAATCAAGCTTGTCTACTAATTAGATTGCGATAAGTGAACATCCGAAAGTAAATAATGGTTTGTTTTAAAGTCCAAATCCAATCTGGTATACACCCAAAGAAATTATCATACTCAAGTGGGGTTTTACTTTGTATTGGGTAATTTCTTATACGAATATGGGGTAAAATCTTTTAAATTGTGGTATTAGTTGTAATTAATTGAATGTAATACCCAATAGATAAACATATAATTCATATTCTGCCGTGTATCTATAAGCAATTATCTTTGCCAATCCCATTTCGCATTCCCTGCATTTCCGAGTAAATAAAGTGCACACCAACTTCCGTTTTTCCTGAGGGCCTGCATTCATTAGCAGACCTCCTATCCTGGATACTGGTACCCACTGGTAAATGGAAACATTTCCGAAAAAAAAGAAAGTTTAAGGGTCAGCCCCAAAAACCAGCATCAAGTTGTGGACTATGCAATTTGGCAAATGCAATGCAGGGAGTTTTGGGGAGCAGAAAATCAACTGCAATAGCAAGGGCTTTAAAAAGTACATATATACAGGGGCACAAAAGCCACTCGAGAATGCAGTGGAAAAACCGAAAATAAATGAATGAAGTGCAAATTCCCCGAGCAGAACTTTGCATTTAATCGGGGGCAGCTTAAAGTGTGCTTAAAATGCGATTAACGCGTGATTTGTTTACACAAAACTGGTTATATTTTTTCCTACACACACAAATCCAGATAGGGTGCTATGCTAATTTCTGGCTAAATCACAGTCGCTGTTGGAAGAACTCTAAAGACCAGCTCATTACGAAAAAAAAGTGGGGACTTTTCCTGGTATTTGCCCATGCAGCATTGCGTATACGCAGCGTGGACAGATAGAATCAATTAAAACGCAACTAATGCGCTTCATTTATCATGGCCACGAAAAGGTCAACACACCCCGCGTGCGGTTTTTGCGGTTTAGGATGGCATGAACACTGTGTACTACAGTAGAGATTCGTTCTAGTGAACCAAATAAATATTTTAATGGAATTAAAATTAAATTTTTTTAATGGAATTAATAAATTCCATTTTTTAATGGAATTCTAAACTACTTTTAAAGGGGTATATGATATATATATTAGTGAATTGTTTCAAAACATATTCATAAACAAACTTAGTTTAAACAAATTTTAAAGGCGCATTATTTTTACTACAAAACTTCATTTTAAATCTAAAGTTTCAAAATTTAAAAGTGCCAGTATATGAGGAAACTTCCCATTACATAGTTTTCACCAATTGCAGTATTCACTGTGCACATCCGTGTGAGATTTGTGGGTGGTTGGGGTGGACACAGCATCTGTGTGAGTGTATCATGTGGTGCTGGAAAATGTAATTTTGCCAATGGCCATTTTAATTGTGCTCGCTCGTCGATGGCCGTAAATTAAATTATGTCATGGTCAGAGCCCAACATGTTGTCATAACTCAAACTTTTTAATTACAAATATTATTATTTTATTTTATTTCACTAATGACCAATGTCTTCTCTCTCTCGTCCCCAAAAACAGAAACCTCAATTTTCACCGTGGAAGGCGTGCAGCTTTACACGGAGCCAAATCGACAGAATAAATGAAAGTTAAAGCAAGTCCTCTCCGTGGATGGCGTACGTTTCTACTGTTAGGGTCCCAGTCCCCAGATCCTCAGACCCCCAGCACCAATCACCCAATCACCATCCTCCAGGACTATCCGTCAGATCTGTCAATCAACCTATCGCATCATCCAGCAATCCAGCAATCGACAGCCATATATAAATGCAAGATGAACTTCTCGTGCGCGCAGAAGTTTTGTACTATAATTCTACGATACTTGTTAGTTATTAGTTCGATTTCGCAGTGAGTTTAGCTGAGGGAGCTTAGCAGAAGACATGCAACCAACGGCGGCATTTTATTTTCAGTCAAATTGCTTAAATTTAGTTTAGATTTCTCGCCATCCTGCAGTCGCGTCGAAAAAGGATACTCAGTTTAGTCAAAGCGCAGACATGGTTTTCTGTAATCTTTTGTAAGCTAAAAACAATTATACATTTAAAGGTAGCTTTTAGTGAGTGAATTGCCACTGTGGATTACGCAATATTTTCGTTTGCAATGAGTGAGAGATAATCATCATCGTGTCTGCATTATATAACATTCTCGTGTGTATTTCGTTTTCATTCTTTTCTCTTTAGTTTTTTTAGTCGATATTTTCAACGCGAATGTTCGGCTGACGAGTGTTTATTGAAAGTGCACTAAAAAATTGCTGATTGCCGACTGCTTTAATAGAGTGCAATTTAAACAAATTAATGAATTGGCGAGAATTTTGCCTCAACTATCAATTAATCAACCAAAATGCTTCTACCAGATGTGCGATCATTTCCAAGTAATTATTCAACTTAAATTTATATATGTTTTCAAATTTAAATATGCACAGCAGACATTTAAAGAAGCGATTCGCTCGCAGCTATTTTATTCTTCGTTTGATCGTATGATTTTTAACGCTTCCTTTGTCATTATTATAAATAAATAAATTCGCCACGCTGTTTAAGTGATAATTTTATATCTATTAAATGAATTTATGTAAAAAGCAAGTAAAACAATCTTAAAAGATATGTAAAACAAATAAATTTAAATCATCTTATCATTTAGGTTTGTTTTGTTCTCCTTTGTTTTTTTAATTAAACTTTTGAGTTCTTTTCGCAGAGAGTTGCTGCCGCGTGGATGATGATGGATTTCCTAGGAACATTTAGAAAAAGTATAATATCGAAAGGGAGGCTGGCGGATCACGAATCATAACATTTTCGATGCAAACGTAAGCGAATAGATAAACAATTAAACTAGCAAAAAAACGCAAATAGTAGAATCAAATTTTTAGCAATCAACCAAAAGTAAATTCGAGATAAAATAGCCATCAACTAAACACTAAAGTAACCTAACCAAGTATTTTACATAGAGTTCGTAGTGAGAAGAATCGAAACCAAGCCCAATCCATTTCCATACTCTAAGAAACGTATCGTATTTGGCCAAAAACGAGAGGACGCCCGAAATCTCCGGGTTCCACTAATATGCAAATGAGTTCAAAGAAGAGCTAACAAATGTGCAAATTGAAATCAAAGACACTTCACATGGTTTTGAAACAAGAAAATAAATCAAAAACGATTTGAGTAGAGCAAACTAAAGCGTAGAACAAAATATATTATGAATATCGTATAAATCGACGAGAAAGAAGAGCCAATTTGAGTTGTAGGCAATCAAATTGCTAAGATTCTCTGATTAAGACACGATTCTATGGAGATATCAAGCCCGTTAAGACAACTCGGTTAGGGCCACGTTTTAATAGCGTTAACCACAACCAGATTATATTTTGTAGCAAAAAGTAAAAGTCAAATTTAAACAAAAGCGAATTAAAAAACCAAATATTTCAAATGAATAAACTTTTTCTGTGATTTATGAAAAAAGTATGCAAACAAAAAGCACACACTAAAATACAGTGCAGCAAGGTAAACACACACAAAGTAAACAAAAACTAAAAAAGATAACAAATTAGGCACTTTAGAGAAACCCAGCAAGCGAAATTGTTTAGAATTGTTTGCTGCTGGCCGAAATGAATAGATACTTTGTTAAGGAGAAGCAAAATTTTGCACACAATTGAAATTTAGCAAGGAGGATGTTTACGCATTCCCTCCTCTTCGGTTTTCTGCGAATTTCCCCCAAATTTAATTATAGGATCGTGAAACAAAAGGTAACGCAGCATGGCAACGCACTTTGCACTTTTCCCATCCCGAAGGTTACGTCCATAGTTTATAAGCCAATGAGCCAATGGAACAAATCGAATCGAACGAAATTAGCGATGATGGAACAGGTTTTCGTTTTTGTTTCCGTTAAATGCAAAAGAAATGCTACTTTAATCAGCAAAAGAAATGATTTTTCGAAGCATTTTCCAACTAATTGATTATTTGCACAACATTCGAGATGAGCAAAGCAAACAAAAGATAATGGCGAAAACTAATCTAATCTAATAACGTAATCGAAACGAGTAATTAAACTAAGAGTGTTTTTAGCGGAACGTATTCTATGTAGTAGCTAAGCGGCAGGGTAATCCCTTCCTTCGGAACCCTGGGAACCCTGGAACGAAAGGTAAAACACATTCTCAACTTGGAGGACGGGAACGAGGAGAAACTTAAATATTTTTAATGCATTGAATTTGTCGTAAATATTTAATGTACCTTTGTTGAAAACAAAATAAATCTATTAACACAAATTACGAACTCTCGATGCGGTTAGGCGATAGTTTAGATGGAGCATGCAATTTTTATGTTTACCTCGTAAGCATTTTTGTATAGTTAAACGAAAACTGGGTACACAGCCCACACACACAACCCCCAAAAATATGAACGAAGAATGGAGAATTTTGTAAATATTTTTAGTTGATTTCTAAGTAGCGAAAGACGAACACAACCATATTCAACAAGAGAAGATGGGTAAATTTAACATGGAGAACACTAATTGTTTATGATTTAACAAGAAATGGATGGCAACTAAATACAATTTGAATAAGTTAAACCTGTACAATAATTTAATATTAAATAAAAAGCGGCCAAGGCCAATGAAAAGTAAAACATGGTGTTTGACTTAGAAGAATTTCAAGTGCTCTAGATACAAAAAAAAAAACACAAGCCACAAATTTTGGATAGGCTGCTCTGAAAATAACTCAATTCCAGGAATTGAAATAACTTTTTTGCGGAATGGAAAGTGTGCGAAAAAATGAAGGAGGCAAATGGGTAACACCCATGGGATCCATGAGCTTTAATTATATAAATTATACAACTGTTTTTTTGGGTAAGTAGAAAGCTATATACATACAAAGAAATATAGTCTCAATCGCTTTTTTTCCTCTCATCCAAAGATTGCGTCATTGCGACGGCAGTTCATCATGGTCACTAATAGACTCGGCTGACTTTTGGTATCTGCAGGCGGGCATCTCTAGTCATCACGAATTTTGTGCAGCTGGCCAACTCAAAAGGTTCCCCAAGTCCAATGAGCAACTCGGATGCAGCTGTAAACCTTCGGAAACCCATAAAACCCATCACCATTGTAATTGAGCAAAACAATCACAAGTGACATAATGCGGAAGATCGGAAAATCAAAGGTAAGCTCGTGAACAAGTTGCAAAGCCAAAGTGAGAAGGTAATTGCCTATCCATATCCATAGTTATTTTGTTCGTGAGGGTTTCATTATATCAGACGATGACGACTAAGGTCAAAATGCATATCAACAAAATCGCCATCGTAGGACTCTAAAAATAAATCTCAGTGGGGGGAAATCTCAGGGGGCATTTTTGGAATTTTCACTGCAGTGCCAGACATATGATTAGTCACCGTTTTATTTTTTTTCTTATTTTTTTTTTCTTATATATTTATTGTTGAACACGCCACACTAGGGTGGACCTTGTTTTCGTGTATTGTCAAATTATTTCCAAAGATCACACAAAAAAAGCGGATAGCGGGTGCTATATTCTTGGGTAAATCACGTGTGGTTATAGCCGGTGATAAGTTCATCAAGATGTGTGGTTATAGAAGACGACCCAGTGGTGTTGCAAGATTTCTTGCCAGACAGTTTGCATGTGACTCACCGTTTGCTAAGGTAAACCCTTTCTTATGGCTCAGTATATGAAAATGGCTAAAAGTTGAGGCAGGCCTATACGAATTGGCAATGAATGGGTTTTGCATATCATTGCCATGCAAAGTACGTAGTGAATTTTGAATGGTGAGGTAAGCGCATCAGTTGCATAAAATTATCTTGTAATTAGCATTAATGACTTGAGACTGAAGCTTCCGAAAAGTAGGTTTACTGGCAGTATACTTACTTAAGTGTTTACTTAGCACACAACTTTTAATAGATTTTAAAGAACAAACAACTTTTAATAGATTTTAAAGAACACACAACTTTTATAGATTTTAAAGAACATAAAATATGAGTCATTGCTTGTCTATACACAATATACAATACTCGAATGGAAAATTCTTTAAATTGGGTAGGTTTACCTTCATAGTTACTAATTAAGTTTTAAATAGCATTAAATACTACAACTGATACGTGTCAATTGTAATTGTTAGCAATGAAATAATATTTAAACTGATGAGTTATGACATTAGTTATACCAACTAACTAATTAGCATAATGCTACTGATACTGAAACTAAAGACTAAAGTTAAGTCCAAGACTTAGTTCTTAGTGGTAATCACTTGCCATTTTTGCACCAGCAATTAAAAATTCTCAGCTCGTATTCCACGTTCTAGACAGCTCTTCAAACCTTTTTGGCGTGCTAGGCATTTTAAGTGATCTCTTGAATGGTTGGCAAGCCAAAGAGGTGATCTCAGGGGATTTTTCTTAGCATTTTCAAGAGAGAAGTGTAAACAAAGATAATCCCTCTATAAAATACAACATTCAAGCATCTCACTAGAGCTTTCTGAAAAGCTCCTCTCGAAATGCAACAAGAAGCGAATGGGTCTTACTATACGCTTAGTTTATTAGCGAACCTCGAGCTGAACGGTCGTGCTTTTTTCTTATATATTATATATTCGGTTTTTCAAAGATCTTGCGTTTTTTCCAAGATCTTGGGTGGAGCCCAGCCAGGTGTTAGATTCTCGAATGATAGGCAGTGATTGGGTTAATTTTTGAGACGCGTAAACGAGGTGACATGATGAGGGCCCAATTAATGGTGATGGCCATCGTTTTGGTGATGACTGCGATCTGCGGTTTTGCCACCGGTGCTGTGCTGGAAGTCACCGATGCCCCTGCTCCATCCACAACCACCCAAAAGTGGCAGCGACTCAAACTTCCGAGTACGTTACAGTGCGAATACGGCAGACGATCGAAAGAGCCATCTAGTCCAAGGTGTCTTAATGACACATTCTGCTTCCTATATATAAAATTGTCTTTAATAAACACGAAGGCTAACAAAATTAAGACATAGCCTTCTTCAAAAGACAATTTTCTAATTTTTTCTACGAATATTGTAATAAAATGGAAATGATTTTACATTTAAAACCTTAACAAGGTCGTAAAATTCCAAGATTTTGAATTCTACTTCTGTTGTAGTAATTTCAAATTTGATTGCGAAATTATTGATGCACGTCCAAGATTTGAGCAATACATTAAATATTTTTAATAAAACGAATGAAGAAAAAGCTACAAAGCAAAAACGAGATTATGTCAAAGGAGAATTCGTATAAAATAGACACATGAAAAGCTTTGCACATCTGTTTTTTGTAGAAGGCAAAACACCGAGCAAAATAAAATAAATAAAACCTTTGTTAAAAACACAAACTGGTTAGCGTAACGTGGTGTTTGCTCTTTCGATCGTCCACTGTAAAGTGATTTTAAGGCTTGTCGACTTTTGGCCAGCAGGTTTCGTTTTGGCCAGAACAAGTTCAATGCGCCGCCTCGTGACTGACTGACTAAGTGTAGCGTCTCCCTTTTTTGTTTGCCAACCCCCAGGGTTCAGTGAGCAGCACTTCGATGCCGAGGGTCGACTACAAGGATCTGATGAGCAATCTGCACGATCGCGTCGGCGTCTTGGTGACCTTGGACGAGGACCAGCGCAACCGCCTGGAAGCCATCGATAAGAAGTGAGAACTGGTTTAGCATAGTCAACAGATCATAAATACTTTCGTGCAAAACCGGTAAAACAAAAAACGTGTGCCAAGAAATTTTGGAAACTTTTCTGTGACACTGCGATTTATTTGACAGAAGAATTTAATTTTAATTGACGACCGAACAGTGAGTGAATTGCCTACAAAAGAATGAGGTAATCGTTGAGCCTCATCAATTGCGGCCTTTTTTAGGTCAAATTTATTGTTATAGATTCGCAAGAATTCCTGCTGATTTTCGCACGCCGCCGGGGAATGTTTATAGATCGGTTCAGTTTGTTTGAATAATACATTTCACTCTTTAGGGGCTTTGCTTCTATTGAACCTCTTCGAATTGAAGTCAGAAATCAAATGTCAAATTCAAATTGAGTGAAGAGAAGACTGGGGCAATAAAAAACAGAAAGAGCTTTACCCACTTCTGGACTCAAGGGAATTCATAGTTTGTTCATTCCGAAGGCATTTCAAAGCTCTTATAATTTTTCTTTGTTTATTATCTCAGATTGGATCTCCTAAGAGAGAGCAATGCTGACCGAATGGAATCGATTAAGGCCCAGCAATTGGACTTCAAGCTGCGGTTGGACAGCTTCGAACATATTCAGCGGCTGTCGAGGGAAACTCTGGATGAGATTAAAGGTGAAACCGACCACATTTCCGGTCCACGGCGTGTTAGGGAGTCGAAACACAAGCTCAATAATCGTAAAAAGATGAATGGTAACCCAAAAATAGTTTAGAATTGTTGATGTTGTGTTTGTGACTCTGTGTATTAAACCCCTTATAAATAAATATTTAATAACGATAATTCTTTCTTAACAGCACTCTCACGACCTATCAGGGATGTTTCGCAGGATGGGAGTACTGGTGGGTCTTACAATCCCAGTGTAATAGATTCAAATCGCCTGGATTCCTTGGCCACTCTTTTGACTTCCACTCGTCTCGGTGTGAGATCAGCGCAGCTTGAAGTGACCAATCTTTCATGGAAAATTAGGTAAGGATTTATAAATAGCACTGCATATATTTTAAAACTTATCACAAACGTTTGTTTTTCATAAAAAGCTTTTAATTTGAAGATAAAACTCGTTCAAGATAACATGAACAAGATTAAATAGCCAAAAATTATATACTTGACAAATATTGCAATTGGCAAACGTCCAACTTTGCACTGCAAATGAATTAATTGTTTGCTGTTTAGTGGAGATTAGATTAGATTGTTTACATACATTAATCTTTCTTTTTCCTGAATTTAAAATGAAATAAATTATAAATTAAAGTATATTAATCCAAAATGTATCACTTTCAGGGCTCAGAATAAACTTGTACAGGAGTTGGCCCTTTTGATAAGAAACTCCCACAATCCAACTGGCAGTTCACATAGCCTCCCAACGCCAGACAGCTGCGAGTATTACGAGCTCGGACACGACGGAATCCTAAAGATAAAGCTCACTCCGACATCCGATTCCTTCTACGTGTCCTGCGAAAAAGATTGGACAGTGATCCTGAGTCGCACCTCCGATGATGTGAGCTTTGAACGTGGCTGGCAGGATTATAAGGAAGGCTTCGGCAACGTGGCTGGGGATTTCTTCATTGGTCTAATCAAACTCAATGCCCTGACCTCATCGGCTTTGCATGAGCTAAGGATCGAGATGGAGGACTATACGGGCGTCAAAGCGAATGCGACCTATTCCCTCTTCGCCATTGGCGGCGAAAGCGAGCTGTTCCCCCTAAGTTTGTTGGGGAAATTCAATGCTAGCATGACCGACACGGCAGGCGATGCCCTGTCTTACCATGCCGGTGCCAAATTCAGCACATTAGACAATGATAATGACAACTGCCTAGACTGCAACTGTGCTATGAGGCACAAGGGAGCTGGGTGGTATATAAATTGTGCCACCAGCAACTCGTTCGGCCAACATTTCCCTGAGCGCTTCGCTGAAGCTGGTGAGACCGGAATCTTTTGGGACACCTTCCGAGGACGAGATTACTCCGTGAAAAAGGTGCGCTGGATGATACGCGCCATTAAAGCATCGGACGTGCTATAATATATCTGTGCATTTGTTCACATCCGACTGCCATCTCAGAAATCAGGGACTACCCACAATCGATTGCATGCATTTGAACTCTAGCTTTAGCTTTAAATCTCTCTGCCCACACGCACATAATATTTATGGAAAATTACTTAATACTTAGATGATACATTGATGTTTAGCACAAGTTGCCTAAAGACTCGTCATGTGTGGGAGATTTTCCCTAATCGATCGATTAGCGGAACGCAAGCTATATTTTGGGTATAAAAAGGTGGGATTGAAATGGAAACTCTGCTTGTTCGAGAGCGTGAAGTGTAGACATGGCCAAGTCCAGTTTTTGTCTAGTCCCGATCCTGTGCCAGTTTTTGGGATTACACGCCGCTCTGCTGGATTCTTTGGTGGATGAGAGCAAGATTTACTATCTGAAATCATCGGGGGATGTGCTCCTGGAAAATGTGGACATGTTAGAGTCGGTGGAAGCCGTCAAGTTGATCGTTCATGGTTATCTGGGATCACGCACCCATGGCTCTATAATGCCTTTGAGAAATGGTGAGAGTTCAAATTTAAATTACTGGAAACTTAGCCTAGTTTGGATACTATGAGTTTATTTTGAGTACTATTTGATCTTGTAAAAACGTCAAATCTCTAAGCTTACACAGCCCAAGGTTATGAGAATGTGCTGGTGGCTGACTGGGGACCAGTGGCCAGTTTAGATTATCCCACCTCCCGCTTGGCTGTTAAGAAAGTGGCTCGGATTCTGGCGAAATCATTGAGAGACTTCCTCCAGCGACATGGCGTAAATCTAGAAAGTGTCCATGTCATAGGTCACAGCCTGGGAGCTCATATTGCAGGGCGCATTGGCCTCTACTTTAATGGCACTTTGGGCAGAGTTACGGGATTGGACCCGGCACTTCCCCTTTTTTCAAGTCGATCGGATGATAGTTTGCACTCGAATGCGGCTCAGTTTGTGGATGTGATCCACACAGATTACCCTCTGTTCGGAGACATAAGACCTCGAGGGAAAGTCGACTTTTATCCCAATTTCGGGCAGGCTCCACAACCAGGATGCGAAAATTTGGATGTGGTTGCAGCCAGTAAGCTACTGCATGAGGCTTGTAACTATGATTATTTTATTATTTTTCCATTTCTTTGAATATTTATATATTTATCAGATAGTTGCAGTCACAATAGGGCAGTCATGTTTTACGCAGAATCTATTGGAATGAAGAACAATTTTCCAGCCATTTCATGCAGTCTGAGGGCAATTAAAAGTCGACAAGTTAAAAACTGCTTAAAAGACAAATCTGAATCAAACAAAACTGGTATTGATGATAAAGATCAAACCGTATTTATGGGCGAACATGTCAATCAAAAGTTAGTATGGAAGTTTTTAAATGGATTTTTAAAATTAATTCGACTTTTTTGCAGCGCCACCTTGTATTTTTATTTGGCAACCAATGCAGCACCACCCTACGGCCAAGGCAAGAACTCACGTTTTTAGTTGTTTTTTAAGAACGAACAATAGGTGGCGACTGTTGACCATCTATGCAAATATGTATTTGTATAACAATATAAATATACCTAGTTTTATATTAATCTAAACAGAAAAATAAATAAAAGCAAACAGTATTAAAAATAATATTTGATTTTATTGATCTCAACGAATTTAAATTATAACCGTATTTTTGAACTATTTATTTTGTAGCATACTTTTGGGCTGCCGATTAATTAATGTTGCGTGCATTTAGGCGCTGCTTGACAACGATAACAACAACAACAAAAACTGTTACAACAACAACAAATTACAAAAACAACAAATTACAAAAACAACAAATTACAAAAACAACAACAACAAATTACAAAAACAACAACAACAAATTACAAAAACAACAACAACAAATTACAAAAACAACAACAACAAATTACAAAAACAATAACAACAAATTACAAAAACAACAACAACAAATTACAAAAACAACAACAACACATTACAACAACAACAACAACAAATTACAACAACAACAAATTACAACAACAACAAATTACAACAACAACAAATTACAAAAACAACAACAACAAATTACAAAAACAACAACAACAAATTACAACAACAACAAATTACAAAAACAGCAACAAATTACAAAAACAACAACAACAAATTACAACAACAATAAATCTATTACAAAAACAACAACTAAATTACAAAAAAAAACAAAAATAATTACAACAAAAACGTTGGCAGCAACAGCAAGAAGTACGTAGAGAACAACAATAAAAACCTATTGTACAAAAATAATAAAAGCTGTTGACATTAACAATTGACCAAATGCCACCTTTAAGAAATTAAAATGCAAAAGCGCAGTCGTTTCCCAGAAGTATTTTATACTTTATTAACGGTATTTATTTACAAAACGCCTAATATAATTCTTAAAAGTCTAATTAACAATTGCTAGAATTGCTAGAAAAATTCATAATAGAACTAATTGATTTAGAAAGGGAGCTCTTTGACGGCCTCTTGTCCAGAGATCGCTTGTGTGTCCTCGCTTCAGCCTTCTTCATTCAATCGGATTGCAGCGGCTCGAATGCTGGATTATCTGGTCCCTCATGTCGGATTGTGAAGTTCGCTGGTTATGAAACAGGCAACCAATCTTGCTGGAAGTGCAACCTAGAAGAAAAAAAATATTTTCTTTATTAAATTGTTAATAAAATAAGCATTAAATCTAAACTAAATTAATAAAGCACTTATTGATAAGAAACAGTAAAATTTTTAAAATGTATTTTGTAAATTTTAATTAAGATAATAATAATTTGATATTATTCATTTTTTGTATCATTCAGTTTTGACTTTGAATTCCCTTGTCTTCTCTAAAATCAAACTGAAGCCCGCACCAAATTCGAATTAGAGCAGAACATTGGTCATTGGCACGTACCCCCTCCGAGAGCTCTTAACCCTCGACAGCCCCCGCCCCATGAACTACCCAACCATTCAACCATCGCCAGAATCAAAAGTCAACAACTCTCGCTTTGTTTTACTTTCCCAGCAAACAGAAATTAAAGCCAGAGGAAAAAGCAAAACGAGTGGCGGACAGGAAAAGCCAACGCATGACACAAATTCAGGGAAGAAAGGTGGTGGCAGAACAAAAAGGCGACTGCCGTGCGAATGGAGAAAACTGCCTAATGCCCAAAGGGAAATGATGGAGATATTGAGAACGCATATGAGAAGAGCAAAAACCCAAAAAATAGTCGAGACTTTGGCGCGCGGCATTCGGTAAACAAAGGAAAAACATTCAGCAAACAGAAACGGAAAACAGAAACTCGCTGGTTGACCGAGCATCAATAGAGCGGCTAACTTGCTGGATTTTCACCGCGGAAAAACTGGGGAAAAACAAAGGAAAAGCTTGGCCCGAAACGCGGGAGTTTCCTGTGCACAGGGCGGCTAATGAAGCCTGAAATCGATTTGTGGAATGATACAATGCTGTGTTCCCCTATGATCGAGTTGAGCGAAGGGTGATCACCACCTGAAACACCTGTGCCACCCACATTTTCTTTGGCATCCAGTGGACATGCGATCGACAGCCAGCTGTTGCCATCCCGAAATCCCCAAATTTACAGCATTCCTTCTCCTTTTGGTGGCATTCTCCTTTTCAGAGTGAATTTACGATCGCTGCCTTTGTTTACTTCTCTTCATTAGTGCTCTTTTTATTGGCCTCTCCTTCTAAATGCAGACTTCTATACTAGCCTCACGCATTCCAAACACTTGGAAAAAAATTCTTGGTCTGCCAGGTTATATAATAGAGAATTCCTGAATAGGACATTCTAAACCTGTTTTTTAAAGGAGTAATGTGAGTGCTAAAAATTTTGTAACTGATTGGTTTTATAATAATATAATAAATATAATGAATATAATGAATGCAAAAATGAATTGATTTTAAAGCTAAGCTATTGGAAGGTAAGAAGTCAAAGACTTTTCCCTCAGTGAAGTTGCCCGCTGGCGACGCAAAGGAAACAAAAGCGGGGCCAAGCACCATCACACCATCTTACCACCGAAGTCGAGGTGTCAAGTGTTTTGCGTTATCTTCTGCGGTTGCTGCCTCTTGTTTGTGGGCCAACATCATGGAGTTTGGATGCCAGAGCCGAAGAGGCTTCAGACCGCCGACGTGCCTGCTTCTCGAATTGCGTCAAAAATTATCGCCATTAAATGTAGATGAGCGTTTAGTTGTAAAGTTATTGGCCCATAAATAACCTCTGGGTCTGCAGTTATCCGCATCCAGGTATCTGTAGAATTTTGCGAAGGGGGACTGTTTGTTCTCTTCATTCATAAAACGAATGTGATTTATGAACCGATGCGCTTGCGGAACTTTTGATTGCCATCCCAATAAGGATGATAGTCGATGTTAATTGAAATTCATTCTCTGATTGAGCGAGAATTTAGTGAAATAAAAAATGGGTGACTAAAGGGAGGGGTAGATTTTACTAGACGAAAATTATGTGTCGGTTTAAAGTCATTTTTTAATGGTTTGAATCTTATGTCTGCTTAAAAGGAAAATAACTCTAAGTGCTTTTATGTTTTTTCCTTTAAAGATCACGTCCTATTTTTTAAAAGATTTGTTTGAATGTTCTGTTGAAATCAAAAAACTATATCCCAGGGTTATATAACAATAATTTCAGAACTAAGTAATTGACAAATTTTGAATACTTGCTCAACGTGGGAGCACAAAAAAATAAATAGAACGAAATGTCTTACAAATTCATTAAGTTTTGATTATTAAGATTATCTTTAGGCAGCCAAATAAACATAATTGATACTAGTGTGGTACTAAGTTTCGTACTAAAAGGTGTGCAATAGCCACCAAAATCAATTAACTCTCAAGTCAGTTCCTCGTCCTTTCTGCTCCACTGTTCAACCCCCCGCTGTCGCATTTTAACTTATATAATTCCTCACATGTTTTGACACATTTCTTAATGGCACCACACACACGCACACTCAGCAAAAGATACAGGTATGAAAAGTAAAAAAAAAGGGACCCAAAGGCAAGACAAAATGAACAAATGCAAACACAAAGTCGAGGAGACAAGAAGAGAAATGATATTGTAATTGGCAATCGTTGTTGTGCATAAATCACATGCATAAATTTCCGACCTGAAGGCATATTCTACAAAGGCAAAAGCCCCCCGTCCCTCGTCCTTTATCCTTAACCCCCTACTGCCCGCCACGTCGTTAGTTGAACTCGAATGTTGTTTTCCAATTGGAAAGTTTTTCATTAACTAATTGAACATTTTATGGGAGACGGGGAAAGGTGAAGGTGTCGTGGCCAGGACTTGCAAGGAGTCGCGGAGGGGGCGGGGGGGGACCACAATGGCGCCAATATTGAATGGCAAACAGAAAGGACAACCCCACCCCCATTTTCCCGTTTTCCCGCTTTCCGCTTTTCCACCTCTCAAAAAACAGGCCATGGCAAGACAATGAACGGACAATGTTAGACAGCCGGGACACGAAAGGACGATGGCCCAAATGGGCAAACAAACACAGGCACACAGATACACACACACACTATCACACACAGGGACATCAAGCTGACATCCTGCGGGTGTCGCTGTGTGTGTGTGTGTGTCTTCTGTATCTGTGTGTGGCCACAATAATTTACGAGCACACGCTTCGCTTCCGTTTTGCAGATGCTCTTCGAGTTTTGGGAAACATTTGGTTGGTTGTAAGCTTGGTAACATTTAGGGTATTCCCTAGTCTTTCTAGGGAGACAAACTATGTATTTATAAATTATAATTTAGTTCTTAGTGCCTCAAAAGATAAATAAGAGGGACACTGAAATTACCTTTCATTTATTTAAGAGTACATTAATTGTTTTTAAAACATCTTCTTTTTATATGCTTTGTCATATTACTACTCCTGTTTTTTTATAATATAGTTAATAAACACTTTAAATCTTTGTAAATAGAAACTAAACAATTTCAGTTTAAAGTATTGTAAAAACTACGTAGACACTTAATAGATATATGATATAACCTTCATAGAAATCTAAATATTTATTCAAGGTTCTTTAGAACTTACGCACCTGTTTTTATGAATATTCAAATATCGATTTATAGTTATTTTTTTCGCCATATAACTTATTCGATTTGCTTTAATGGCGCCAATTTATTGAACGATTATAAAAATTTGAATATTTTGTAGATATTTATGGTTCATATTTATTGTCTTGACACCTTGCGGCACTATTAACCCATTACATTTGCGTAAGTAGAAATTATTAAAATTTTCCACAAATTGTCGCACGTCACAAGGTATTCCCTCGGTTCATCATTATGGCGTTTAGGTTTTATTCTCCCTTTAACGTACAAATAAAGTTGGAAATTTGCATAGCCGTCTGGACTGGCTTCTCTTCTCTTCTGTTCTGTTCTCCCCCTGAACCCCCTCCTCCTTCCACCCCTTTCCATTATCCTGGCGGATATTAAACATTAGCGCGTGCTGGACACATCCTTGTCCACCCGACGACTCCTGCCACCAAAAATAATTAAGGTGAAAATTGCTGTCGACACGCAAAGTCCAAGCGAAAAGGTGGCAAAGGTAGAGAGTCAAAACCAGAACTGAAAATTTTGTTTTTTTTTCGGCCCTGTGTCGCTGAGAAATGACCAGAAAACGAGAGAAAAAGCAGCTGATAAACCGCCCGATTGGAGATGACTAATGAAACCTATTAGCCCTGTGACAGATGAGTCGAAGTGGAAGTCAAAGTCGAAGTCGCTGGGAGCTGTGACCGCGATGATGGATAAGCTCATTAAAGACAAAGGCCCGCGGATCATTACCGATCATTCGGTAGCGGCTCCTTCTGCGCTGACCCCCGGATTAATTGAATTCCCCCGGTGGTCAATCCGCTTTGACATTTTCTTTTATCAGTCTAGTGGAGTCGAATCAATCAAGCCAGCAAACTCAGTCCGTTCACGGCATTCGTGGGCACTCGGAAATTCCACTGGCGCTTCAAAGGCTTCGCAATGCGCTGGTTCAGGAAGAAACTGCGGCCATAATCCACGGGCTTTAGTCTTCGTACATAACCTTCTGGCAGTTCGTCCACATGGCAGCTAATCTGCAGATACTCCAGAGAGTCATCCACTACTATCTTTTCTATAGAGCACTTTTGGGGGATTGGTAATGGAAAGAAGTCTCTTAGCAAACACTCTTACATGATCTGCCCGATGCACCAAATCGTCTTGGATCTCCTGGATTTCTTGGCCACGACAGGCGAGAATCGCTTAAACAAAAATATAGATCCCATAAAGTACCCCTTATATATATTTCACAAACTCCAACTTACGCTCCTTCATTTTTATATGGTCATCGATTAGGTGGAGCGCCAGAAAAGATACCGCCACAAAAAGCAACGTAAGGCAGCGCCGTGAATTTGGACCCATTTTGGAATTTAATTTACTAGAGACTGATGTGAATTTTGATGTGTGTACGAGGGAGTACTAAAATCAAGGCCTTTCCAGATTTAAAAACATTAAATAAAATGGCACAGAAAACAAGAAAGGAAAGCTAACTTCGGGCGGAGCCGAAGTTGAAATACCCTTGCAGAATATTCTTCAAATTATATTCTCCAAAATTATTCATATGATGCATTCTTAATACTCATAAAAAATCCCAACTTCCCAACTTTAAAAACACCAAAGTTATGGCATTTCCAATCGTTCAGTTATGTATATGGCAGCTATAGAATATAGTCGGCCGATCCTTATGAAATTTGATATGTCGGATTGATTGGGCAAAAATAAAACCCATAGAAAATCCCAACTTCCTAACTTAACAAACACTAAAGTTATGGCATTTCCGATCAATCAGTTATATGGCAGCTATAATATATAGTCGGCCGATCCTTATGAAATTTGGTAGGTCGGATTAATTGGCCAAATATAAAACCCATAGAAAATCCCAACTTCCTAACTTTACAAACACCAAAGTTATGGCATTTCCGATCAATCAGTTATATAGCAGCTATAGGATATAGTCGGCCGATCCTTATGAAATTTGGTACGTCGGATTGATTGGCCAAATATAATACCCATAGAGAGTCCCAACTTCCTAACTTAACAAACAGCAGAGTTATGGCATTTCCGATCAATCAGTTATATGGCAGCTATAGGATATAGTCGGCCGATCCCGGCCGTTCCGACTTATATACTGCGTGCAAAGGAAAGAAGGGTGTGTGCAAAGTTTCAATTCGATATCTTTAAAACTGAGAGACTAGTTCGCGACAGACGGACAGACAGACGGACAGACAGACGGACAGACGGACAGACGGACATGGCTATATCAACTCAGGAGGTGATCCTGATCAAGAATATATATACTTTATAGGGTCGGAGATGTCTCCTTCACTGCGTTGCACACTTTTGACCAAAATTATAATACCCTCTGCAAGGGTATAAATATATAAAATAGTCTAGTATTATTGCAATTTTTAAGTTAACCAAATCATAACAGATTTTGGCTGCCCTTCTTAACAAACCAATAGATTATATCACCTGAACTCTTATCAAAATTAGGAGACCCCATCAAACCATAAAGTATGTTTAGTGCGAATTAACGCTTACCAAAAATCAGAACCTTTCGGCTTTTGTTTCTAGCGCTGGTAAACTTTTCCAATTGGCCATAAAAATCAACAGAAAATCGTTTGATGGAGAGCACCATAAACGAAAACAAACAGATAAGACATTTTACAACCACTTCGCAGCAGAAAAAAGATAAACAAATAGAAAAGGCAACCTTATATGGAAATTTAGGCGGAATTGGGGTTCACCAAACAAATTTCATAATTTGCATGTCGCATTCGGAGAAAAGTTCTCGGCATTGATAAACTTTTCCGATTCGCCATAAAAATCGATAGAAAATCTTATGGAAATTTTCGGCTGTCAGTGTCGAATAACGAATACCAAATACCGAGTACCGAATCGAGTAATGTCTGAAGTCTGGCCGATGTCTGCTCTGTCTGACGTGGACTGGTGGGTTTCTGGGTTTGGCCAGATTATTGTTACGTTTATGATTTAATTTCACACGAATTTATATTATTTCGGTGCAATTGTTTTGTGCGTCGTCGCATTTATGGTGTATCAGTTGTTTATGGCTTGTGGCCAAGGCGAGCGTTCAAAACAGAGATTTCACAACCCAAAACGGAGAGACTTGTTGGCCCAATCAATAATTATCATTGGCTGTAGTTAGAGGCAGATGGCTTTGGTGTGGGAGGCCTTGGCTTTCTCTGCTCCTGCCCACAGCTCGCGTTTAATTAATTGCCGCGTGAAATTAATTTCAATCCAATTGTGCAGTCGCATCATTAGCAGTTGGGTCCCGAAACCTGCTGAGTAAGCAATGATATCGTTTGTAAGTTGCCCCCATGCCATCGAGATCCCAGATCCCAGATCACAGATCCCCGATCCCATCCACTCTCAAGTGCCATATCGTTTTTACTTCGCTTCGAGTGGGCTTGAAAGGTGATTAACGCGATCATAGAAATGATGTCGGAGGAGTACTGGGGCTCATCTTTCCAACACCTGAAGTGGGACAGGGAAACGGGAATATTATGGAGGCCTTTCACTGGGAGAAAATAGCACCTAAAATGGTCTACAACTCATCACCAGTCAATGAAATAAAATGGGTCAAAGAGATCTGTGACTCAAGGTCGTTTAAAATAGTTTGCATTTATATTTCGCAAACATTTATGGAATACTATCATACCTATAATAACCATTGACCTATTTTACCTGTAATACCTATAAATAAAGTACCCCATCACCCCATTTATTAATAGTCCACAGAGGACAGTATAAAATAAAAAATTTTACGCAAAAAAAAAAAAATTAGGGATGCTGTTATTCAAAAAGTTGGTGTTCTACAACATTAAAGTATTCTTGCAAAATATTTTAAAGTGCCTATATAGTAATAGTGTCCAATAGTAAAGTTATAAATATCATTTAAGTTATGACAGGATATTTACAAAGCAAACACTAAGTTTTTGCCATCACTGGTTAATAAATATGGCAAACTATATAAAAGACAACCCACTTCGATAACTATTTTATTTATTAATTGGGCTTTGGGTAATTTCAAAATATTTTTCTCAGTGTGCCATAGATCGTTAGATGCTTAGATCATGACTCTTTCTTTCTTTCTGCGTTTGCGCACGCGCTAAATGTCAAAAAAGTGCCCATGAAGCTGAGGAAGAATCAGCCGCCTGCTGTTACCCCTGCCACGCCCCCCGCCCACAAACCGAAAATGACACGCCCTCAGGCGGGCCGCCCACTTGGAACATGTCGAATCATTCATTCAACGAAACGAAACCAAAATGTGGGCTGCGAGGTGTTGAAAGGCAAAAGACGAAAAGCGAAAACCGAAATGAAAAATCCAAAAGGCATTTTGTGTGCATTTGTAATTTGTGGAGCTGCACAGCACTGTGCTGTCATTATTTTCTGTAACATTTAGCGAAATCATTAATAATTGTTGCCGCCGCTGCAGCAGCGACACAGATACGCACTTAAAAATTGTCAGACGACAACGAAGTCTACGACTTTGGTGTTAACTTGATTAGCATTCGCATAAATTTCGCAGTTGCATCTTGCATCTTGCATCTCAACCGCATTTGCATAGAATGCACATTTTGGGTCGACTAACATATCTCCGATCTGGCCATCGAATTAGACGGAATTCGAGGTGGCCCTGCCCCAATTTCCCCTCTGAGATTTCAATTACCCACTCGCATTATGCAAACAAATACATTCGGGCGATAAGGTTAAGCCGAAGAAATTATGAAAATATTTCCCAGAAAATACCGCAGACAAAACAAATTGCCGCGTAATCTCTGGGTCTCTCTCTTCAAGAAGAAAAAGAAAACAACTCCAGGTTGACAATAAATCGGAATCATTTGGTTACTTGTCCTTCTTTATCGGCAAGTGCCGCCAAGTGGAATCAATCAAGCGGAGCACCATTTCCTTGGAGACTGGCTCTGCTTACCCTTGTATTTTATTCGTTTTATTCCGATTCCGAAGCGTGACAATATTTTGGCCACAATTCAAACGAACTGATCTCGAGGGTCTTCGGTGGGCAATTAATCATGTCGAGCTGGCCGATAAGTTCTGCTCGGTCGAGTGCAGTGAATGTTTCGGATCTCCGGAGCTATGTATTTATAACAGGTAGTGCACCGAGATCTACCCTTCCACTTTGATCTTTGTGTGAGGTTCGAGATGAAACAGTGGCTCCAATAAATCCAAGGGGTATCGCTGGCGGAAAATCAATAACCCCGCAGGGGAACCCGCCTCCAATTTGAATATTTATGGTGAATTATTCGGATCTCGACATAAAGCGTTAAAATTGATACATTACAGGCTTTCAGGGCGAGAATTTAAGGGAGAACCTGACCAAGAAGGGAATGAACACAGCGTTTAGCGATGAATATATTTAAGGGAAGTAATTGGTTTAACAGGCATTGATATTTTAGGTCCTCCCTGAACAAAACAGTCATTCTTTTGCGTCTTATTTTGGCCAAGTTACAGAAAAAATATATGTTTTTGGTGGCCAAAATACGGTAAAGATCAGCTCTAATTGTCGGTTTTTTGATCAAAACCCTTGGAAATAATGGTCGTATCTTGGAATGTCATACCTCGTTGAATTCGTTACAAAATTTCCAATCGAATGGTATACTCAGCTCAAAAATTTTAGTTTGGCCCAATTTTGGCAAAAAATCAAGTGTTACCCCTTATCAAAAATGTGAAAATCGGTCAAAAAATAAATTTTACCAAAACGACCTGGAATTGATTGTATAGGCTCTCAGCTGCTCAAAACAATCATTCTTTTGGCTGTGCGTCTTATTTTGGAAAAGTTACAACAAAAAGCTCTCAAGAGATCCTCAAAAAATATAATTATTAAGCGAAGTTATTAAGCAAATTTAATAAAACGTTTTTATAGATTAATATCATTTTGTTTGTTTATGAAAGGGAAAATAATTTCAATATTTGTTGAGCTTTTCATATATATATTTAAGTATTGTATTATATAGGTATATTCTAAGGAGTGGCTTTAGTTTAAAATCTAAAAAGATTATGTTAGTAATTTTACTTATTTTGGACCTGTACCACTTCTAGTTCAATGGTTGGTTTTAGTCTAAATTAGAGTAGTTTTCAATTGTTTCAAACGTTTGCTTAAATTAAGTCAAGCTCTTTTACCCCATTTGCATAATTCTAAATTAACAACCATAAACTGAATAAATATTGTGGACCCCCGACCATAATAATGAAGCTTATATCCCCAGAGCGTGCATATCTTCTCACTGAAGCGTTGCGTTCTAGGCCAAAAGCGTTATAAATTGGCTGGCATTTGTCAACCGGCGAACGGAGTCAAGTACGGACTTGCAAATGTGTCTTTGGCATATCTCACGGATGCCAAACGTAAGACAGGCAGCTCGGGAGCAAACAAAAGCGCCAAGACAAACAGATTCGAATGTATCTGCAAGTGTATCTGAGCTTGTATCTGAAGACGTCTGCGGCGGCATTAATGGCAAATTTGCACGAAGTCAATAGCGAAAACGGGGGGAACAGTCAATTATCAATAGCGCTGAATATGGGCGATGGTATCTGCGGGTGTGCGAGTGTGGGTGTGCGAGTGTGCGAGTGTACATACTCTTGTGTCTCACCTGGAGTGTTGATGTTTTTGCTTTTCCACCTGCGTGTGGTGTTGTTTTCTTTGCCTACTGCCACCGCGTACGCAAAAGTGTCTCGCTTTCTCTGTCCAACCGAATCACCTGTCTCCCTCGCTCGCTGTATCTTGTATCTTGTATCTCTCGCTCTCTGTCGACCGCCGATTGGCTGGCTTTTGAGTCTGCGCCGCTTTCCGGAGAGGCCACACCTCTAAAAAAAAAACCCCTCGAAAAACCACGTTTGCGTGATATTCCAGATACTTTGGCCCCCCATTTTCCCCCCGCGGAAAACATAAACTTGTGGCTCCCTAATGGCCAGAAAAAAAAAGGAAATAAAAACCCGGGGGATGAGTCAAAATGAAAATGGCTTTTATGTGTGGCGTGCGTTGGGGTAATTTTATGATTCAGGGAATTGCACAGGCAGACCTCCCCTTTTCCACCTGGAATATGTAGATACAGATACCTTTTAATTGTCGCTTTATTGATTTCCCTCAAAAGAAAGCACATAAGCTGACTTAATTTATGCTTTAATTCTATTTAATTATGTTTTTTACCATCTAAAACTGCGTGGGGTCTACGAAGGATTCGCGTGTTATTTGGACAGTTTTGAGTTTGGCCAGAAACTATCTAAAATGTGTCAAACTTAATGAACGGTGTGGTAAAGCGGTTTTTATAGGGGAGGCTTTTTTTGGGGATTATGTTTGTTCTTTGATTTATTACTCTTCTAAAAGCTAAAAGCTGTTTACTTCTGCTGATTTAAAGTTTAGCTGTATTTAAAGTAGAGAACAGAGAACTTAACGTGAAAGTCCTGATAAATTTAAACGTTTTAAATAACAATTCAAATATATATAAAGTCTTTCTCGGCTTTCAAAAATATATCCCCCAAAAAATGTACAAAATAAATATTACAAAAACCTTTTGTTTATACATATTAAAATATAATGTATTTTATAAAAATATAGTTATTCATTTACTCCTCCTAAATTCCTTACAAAATCTATTGTTAAGAAATTCTTCACTAACTTTTTTTAAAATTTATTGAGCAGCCCGATTGTTTTTCGATTTGACTTTGATTTGTACCCTTATTTTCTATGTATTTTCTTAATTTGTTTTTAAGTTTTTACCCATAACCAGCTCTACTGCAGCTCAAATCTAAAATGGCGAATCCCAGACGGTTCATTCAATTGAAATCGATCGCGACTCTTATACGCGTACACCTCCAATAAGATCAGCTGGCTGGTAGGCGAGTATAAGAGTTCGGGATCACCTGGGTGAATTCGGAGAGCTGGCGAAAGAGAGCGATCCGGGTGAGCAGAACACCTGGTGAGCAGAGTATCTGTCGGATACCGAAAGGTGAGTGTGCGAGAGAGCGGGCAGTGGAGGGTTAAGCGGCGGGGGTTAAGCGGCAGCTAGCTGACTGGCTTTCTGACTTCGAGGCTCGTCTGCGCGAAGCCCGCGCTCGTCCAATCAGTACGAACTCGGTTCCCGCCAGCGCAGTAACAACTTCGCCGACGAGCGCGTGAAACACCTTCAACTTCCTCTGAAGCAAAACAAAATAATTGAAAAATCACAACCCAAGTGCCTTAACCATAATCTGTAGAATATTGCAACGAATTTACTGCCCATTAAGTATCCATATATCGACAGGAACAAAAGATACAAAATACAAAATACGAAATACAAAGCAAAAACCGAAGCTCAACGAATGCGGAAGTGAGCGAAAGCCGGCGGCTTTTTTAATAATTTTTGCAATTAACGCAAAGGATAAAAAATAAGTGTGCAAACAAAGGGAAACAAAGAGTGAGAGAAAGTGATCGAGTGCCTTCATTTGCATATCCTTGCAAATTGAAATTGAATTAAATTAATAACAAAAAAGTAATTGAATAATAAGAAAACGTGCCGCAATGTCTGTTGTTCGCAGTGCCATGTCAAGCAGAAGTATTCAATAATAATAATCCCGAAACCCGAATTCTGAAATCGGAAATCTGAAATCTGAATTCGAAAATTGATTAATCATTTTGTGCCTTGAACTGATCGTGACTCGTGAGTCAGAGCAGCGCCATTTAATTGTCCGCAAATAAGAGTACGGAGCCCAGTCGCAAATTGCCGGGCTAAATATTGGTAGAATATCGGTAGAATCGGTGGAATCGCTGCAACCCCCTCCCCCGCCAGCCATCTCCCCTGGCCCTCACTCGAGTTGAGCTTCATGCGAAAAACGCCGCTTAAATGCATACGGATATCATAATTGGTGATCAATTTGCCGCCAACAACAACTACTGGGTGATGCAGGTGAGTTCTGTTCCTAAAAACAAATAATCATGAACCTAGTGAATAAATGTATAAATTATCTTTTACATTTTCTAAACGTACTTCTTGGCAATTACAAATTACCTAAGTACTGCATTCACATAAGTCAGAAAGGTACAATTTACAATCTTGAAAATGGTTGTTAGCAAGAATCCCTCAAAAATTAATTGAAATCACTAGAAAACTTTAATGTAAACTGTAGAAAAAGATGTGACAATCATGAACCACACAATAATAAATAAATAGGATTAGATAGTATATATAAAAGAACAAAATTATGTTGCATACAAGTAATAAAGGTTATTGTATAAAAGAAAGAATCTCTGGTGAGTTTTTAAATTCAAGTCAATCGAGAACAAGAACGATTGCTAAATGATGTGCTTAACAAAACACTTTACAGTATTACTTTACGAAAAAAGGATGAATAAATAAATAAACCTTACTTTTAAAAATGCCAAATGTTAGTCAATTAAATTGTAATCAATTGTTCCTTGTCAAACCGAATTTAAACAAAATCATCGTAAACCATTACGACCCATAATTATAACAAAATGCGATAATTAAGCCGCTTTTATTGCAAATTAATTTTAGCCAAATTTGACAAACAATAAGCCAGGGCACAACAAATACGAAAGCCAACAAATCACACAAAAAACACCTCAAGCCCAACAACTTCCGCTTATCAAAATGCAAATCTTGAACAGACCAGATTTTGGTCGATTTTTGAGTACGGGTATAAATAAAACGCACGCGGCAATCGCAAATTACAATAAAGCCGAAAACAAATTAGCTCGATTATCGATTGAGATGAGGAGTTGGAGCTGCGGAGTGTGTGTGTGTGTGTTTTCGAGTGTGTTTTCGCAGAGATTAACACCTTGGATTTCCTCAGGTGTTCCTTATGTTCCTTTTTGTTTGCCAAAAGCGACAATCGATTTGTAAATCTTGTTATCACCTGCAGGAACTCTCAGCTCTTTAAGCCGTTTTCAAACACACTCGGTCGGTTGGCTCCTTTGAACTTGTCCACACTTTTCACGCGTTCCTCGGGGAAACTGTTCCAAGCCGATCCAATCCAATACGATCCTCACTCCTCCTTCCAATATCCATGTTTGCAGCCTGTTTTTCTCCAGTTTGTTTGCCTCAATTGTTTGACTCGCGCTTACTTGCGAAGCTCTGGGTAAATATTAGCCCACAACACTTTGCCAATGTGCCAAGTGTCCCCTCGCCGGACTCGAACCCAAACCAGCTGACTGGCGAATGGGTTTCATCAGGGCTTCTATATGGGAATACTATAGAGCTATATATATAGCTATAGCCTGATCATCGACTGGGTGGCATTGATGGATAATGTTGGCCACATGGGAATATAAATACGGGGTGACAGGCTGCGTATGAGTAATATTATATTCTAGGGAAATAACACTGTTTATCCTGTTTATTATTACCCCGCTGAATGTCAACAAATGTTTTAGGGTAGTGGAAATGATCAAAGAGAAGGAGTGTTCTTGAATAGTTTTCAGGCCAGAAATTTTCAGCCACATAAATACCGAGAATTTAAAAAAAGGGTATTTATATTATTAGACACCTATCAAAATGATATATTTACTAACTTGACAATTAAACTTGTAAGCATAATGTTTATGTCTTTTTGATTGTTTTACCTATGCAATTATCAAATTATAAACTAAGAAAACAACTAAATCATATAAACTTTTGTATAATATAATTCTATCTAAATGGTTGCTAAACAGACTTGCCAAATAACAGATTTTATAAACCTTTTGAGATGTTCTCCGTATATTTTCCCACTTTTATCACACCAACTTAACTTTTTACACCCAGAAGCCTACTCGTCTTACGCCCATTGATAAGTTCATCGGAAGTCCAGCCTTACTCAACAAAGCTTCGGGTTAAGTGCCTCTAGCTGGCACTCTCCAGAACACTTCCTTTCACCCAAAGATAAGGATGGAACTCCACATATCGTAGGGCGATGGAGAAACCCGAGGCATTGGCGATTCCGGGGAAAAAGAGTCGTAAAAGAGCTGGGTGTTCGACAAGTGTTGTTGCTTGTTCCGCCTGTCACCATCAATGGCTGCACTAATTAGGCATGTGTTGTCAAATATTTACAGACAGTCGCAAAAGTACAAAGCGCTGTTGGCCCCCCCTCTGCCCCCTGGAATCCCGCCCCCTCAAGATAGTGACGAGTTTCGGATGGCAGGAGGGGAAAGGGGGGCGGTCTTCTTCCGTTTTCCACTGATTTAGCAGATATGGCGAGATATAGCAAGGTACTTCCCACGATTCACGGCGATTATGACGAAAAACTTTCGTATTTTATGGCCAAGAACGAAATTAGTTTACGATCGCTTACAGGGAATTAGCGAGTACAACTGGGGGTATCAGTATTCGGAATCAGAATCGGATACATTCAGTGAATAATGGAACTAATCAAGCACGTAGCTCTGATTAATGGCCCTGAACCATTGTGCTTCAATCGTAAATAATTAAATATAGATAGAAATCAGATAACTCATGTGGTTTGGTGGAACTAAAAAAGGGGGGACTACTACTGTCAGCACGCGGCCAAGAAATATGCAAATTACTTTAGTGGTCTAAACGAAACTTGCAGTCGCTCCAGTGATTTGTCAATAAAATAAATTTTCTAATGTACGAAAATAAAACGTATACGAGTTTATGGCCTAACTGAATCAAAGGAAAATATTTGCATTTGCGAATCGAAGTCGTACAAAAGGCGGCCGACTTCAAAGAATCGGAATCGGTGCTGAAATTTAACAAGAATTACTACGCCGTCTGCTCATCTGAGCCATAAAAAATCGTGGCAAATTAGATAGAAAACGGCGAAATAATGGCACGATAAGATAATGATGTCCCTAGTAGACTTTCCATTTCGAAATGAGTTCAAGATTGGAGCGAACCCCCAACAAAACACCGATTGCCAATTACACACCGCCCAGACAATGGCAGTTAAATAATAACTGGAGTAAGCCATGAAAACAGTTGGCCAAAATCTCATTAAGGCCCAGTGGGAGATCGCCCATCGATCGCTCGATCGATCGATTCCTATGCAAATCCCGTCAGTAATTTCGGTTTCCACCATCACAATGCCAAGTTTTTGGTTTCTAGTCGTTGCCTTATTTTGCTTTTGCCAATTCATGCAAATGAAAACGAAAACTGGCACACAAAACTAGCGCCAAAAATGGCACAAAAAATTTGGTAAAAAAATATCATTTATTTGCAGCCAGTTTTGATTGATTCGCCGCCTCACCAAGTTGGAGGTCAATCGGGCCACGAGAATCAATCACTCACAATCCACTGAATGCACACAGAACTTCGCGGAATTGTTGTGGTCTTAGAAACAGTCAGGGATAGATTATAAAATTGCAACTACAAAAAGAATTTGGAAGCTGGGTTTCCCTATTTAAGAATTAAATTTAACTATAGTTCTCAGTTAAATGAAACAAACCTAACATTTGCATTAAACTAATCAACTCAAATTCAAAACCTTAGAGAACTATGCCACATTTTTTTGTTAATTTTTCTCTATAAGAATCCGTCAATTTGTTTTTATTTTATGATATTTTTATAACATTTTTATAGAATCTTTGAAAAGTCGTAAATCAAGCAATATAAAATCGCAGAATTCATAAAATCATTCCTCATTTTGAATCAGAGCTAAAAGAACCGATGTCTGAAACAGTAAAACCGACTATCCATCAATCTTGAATTGATATTTTTAAAAAGCTTTTCAATAGAATCCGCACAATATATTTATCCCAATTTACCCCTTTTCTGCTCTTCTTTTTTAACCCAATTTTATGGCACGTGAGTGAACATTTGTTGTCGAAGGCAAACCCTTTTGGCCAACATTTCTTCGAGTCTGCAAAATGTATCACCTCAAATTTTTGATAGATTGCCGGGCCTAAAGCCAGGAAGACAACATGTTTGAGTTCGGCGAATTGTCGCGGAAACTAGTTTGTCCAAAAATATATAAAAAGGCTTTTATGCTCGCAGAGGTGCTAAAACCCCTACAACATTGAAGCGCAATTCGTTTCGAGTTTGATGGGATCAAAAGCTCAGCGGATGACAGCGAATGGAGGGGAATAAATTTTATTTAAAGCTCTGATGCCGCATTAAGATCAATTATTTGATTATGAAACAAAATCTGCGTGAAATCTTCAAATAGTTTGACCCAAGCCGATGTCAAATGCCGTCGCTGTAAATTTCAATTTCAGTGCCGAAATCGTTTCAGCAACAAGGTGAGAAAACAAAAAAAAAAACACATTTGATCGGGGTGCGATGATAAAGCCATCATCGGATGGTCTCGATCTCGATCGGTCGTAAAGTCGCAACAAAGGTTCAAACAAGCCAGCCCGACTCGAAATCGAATTGCAAATTTAAATTGAAATCGAAATCGCAGCACATTTCGTAAGGTACTATTATATATAATCCGTGGACCGATCTGCGATATCCGCAGCTGAACATGCGCCAAAAATCACTTCAATTCACATTATTTGCTTACTTAACTTTTATCACCCGGCCGAGATATCTATGATCGATCGATCGCTAATTGCCAGAGTACAGAAAGGTACGCGAAGTGGCTGTAAGTCGGAAAAAAAAGGCGCCAGGTACGAGTGTCCAGCATTGAGATCTCTCCTCTGCAATTGACCCACTAATTCGGCTTGTCAATAATCGCCTGCTGGCCATTGAACCTTGGCTGCCCTTCGAGTTTCCTGGAAAACACAAATTAATTGCCCGCAAATCCTGTGCTCGACCGATCACCATTTATTCAACAGTTTTCATTTCAAATTTCTTATTGATTCCATACAATCTACATGTTGCGCATGCCAGTTTTGTATGGGTTATGTTGGGAGCCCCTCGATATGGCTGAGCGGTTTTCCAGCTCTGATCGGAAATTGGTTTTGTAGGCCCAGGGTTTCAGGGCACTTCCTGTGTTCACAGCACTTTAT